TGGTCCTTCCAAATCTGCGTTAAATAAAGAAATAATCTTTGTTTTCTCCCTGTTGGTTCTCTCAACAGGACACAGGAGAGCCGGGCTGGTGGCGAGGCGAGATCGGAGGCAAAGAGGGCGTCTTCCCTGACAACTTTGTCACCATGGTTTCTGAAGGAGAGAAAGAGGTGAGGTTAGAAAAGGAATTGAATGAACTGTTGGAAGGCATTTGGCTCAAGAAGTAAGCCTTTAGGTCAAAATGTGAAACACTTTCTATGGGTCCTGTGGTGAAGGATTGAGCTGCCTCATGTTTAAAGCATCGGGTACACAGGCACAATCATTTACAGTCTTTTACTCTTGTCATCATCTGAATGCCATCATGTTGGTGTGTGGAGGAGCTGGTCTGAAACAAGAGAGCAGTCCTCGTCATTAATGATAACAGACAATAAATAAAAGCACAAATAGTAATGTGGATGTAAGACATAAAACGACTTAATTTCTTTTTAAACCTGTAGTTCAGTTTATCTGATCTGGGCCAGGGGGAAAAAAAAATGCATTCACTTGTATTTTGGGTGTTACTGTGGGATCGCTTTTTAATTGACTTCATGAAATGGAGAAAGTCCACAGAGGATCCAAACAATGAACTGCTTTCAACTGTCTGAGTCATCAGGATAAAAACACTGCAGTCACATGCTGACATATGTGTTGCCATGCTTACCCAGTCTGTTACATATGTATAGATAGAACTCCATATCTGTCATCTACCCGATAAATGCATGAAAGAAACAGAAGACTTCTAGCAGGAGAACGTTTTTTTTTTTTGTTTTTTTTTCCTTCAGGAGTTGGTCTTTATTTGCTCCCAAAATATGAATTATGAGCTCATACAAACACTGAATCTTTTGTGGCAAATGTAATTATTCCTGACACACACACACACAATGTTGTGATCTCAGTCAGTGGTGGTAAAGCATATCTTCTGGCATTGAGCAAGCAGCAGGTTGATGAACATGGAGGAGTCAGAAGGGAAGAGGAGGTGGATGAGATTTATTATTAGGACAGCTTCTCTCCAAAACTCCAAATATAGTGCATTGTGAACCAATAGATGATGTTTCTCCCAGTTTACTGTCAAGTGTTTTTGTTTCCCAGATTTTTTTAGAGGCTTTAAGAAAGTCTTATTCTGTAACAGTTGATTTATTTATGTTTTAATCGAGTATGGCAAAAAAAATGTGCTGCATTCTGGGCTTCAGCCAGCTACAGTTTCACACTTGAGATGTACATTTCTAAGGATCATTCCAAACACAGATTGCTTGCTGATGATGTGTTCCAAATGAACAGAAAGTTTGCAAGAACACATATAACTTATTAAAGTTTGGGAGATTGTACATGAATAGAAATTGCCGCACACAGATTAAAAGAGGTTACCTCCCAAAACAAAAGACACAGAACACTACAAAAAGAGTAAATCATGCCTGTATGTGTCTTGACTCAACAAGTGAGGAAAGTTGATCTCTAGGAGAAAGCGAAAGCCTTTTCTTTTATTTTGAATTGGCTGATTATTGTGTTTTTCATTCTGTAAACTGATGTAGAGAGAGACACAAATTGGTGAAAAAAAAAACTCCCAGTAAATGAGCTTTTCTGGGGGCAAACTCCCCGCTTAGTGTGTAGTGTGTTCTAACGAAACTTATGTCCATGTTTAGAATCAATTAAAAGATGGCTGTCTGAGCAGGTTGACATCAGCAGATGGATATTTCAGTAGTTTAGCGTTTCAGTTCATATTAAAACCACACATCTGCCATCACAAAATAATATGGGTTCCCCAGTATTTCAGATAGAAAGAATCAAATAACTGGTTTAGGTCTGGTTGTTTGGTTCACAGCTTTCTCACCAAAAAAAACAAACCCGGCAAGATAAGACCAGAGTTCGTTCTAACTGAGTCAAACAGATTAGGTGTGAAAACAGTTGTTGGCAGTGGGGCAAATTTCCCAGCTAAATAAATGTGTCATCCAAAACACAGAGTGTGCAACAAGGAGGCTAGAAATTCCCTTGAGGTGATTAAGCCATCGTTAAACTTTGGAAGGTTCAGTAGCCATGTCGAGTGACGAAACGAGGGATTACCCATAAACATCTAAGCACCCTAAATGTAAGGGTTTACTTGTGAGTAAATTCTTTCCACAATGAGCAGCTGTGCTGGCTGTTCACCGCTCGCTCAGGGGATTCCCACAGCCTGCCTCGGCCTGAGGTTGCTATGGTGATGTGTTATTCTCCATAACCAGCCTTTTCCACAGTTTCAGCTTCAGGATTCGCTATTGATTTTATGACAGTCTTTTGCTCTCTATTGGTCAATCAGAAGCAAGCTATTTTGTGAAACCACCTTGGGCCTCACTGTTTTATGACATCTTGTAGACCAAAGAAATTATTTAAAAAATAATGATAGGAAAAGAATAATAAGAAAATGAATAATAAATATTCACAGAATTTATAGATAGTTTTTGGGTTTTTTTGCCCATTTGTTGTGAAACTCCATGTGACACATTTTACTAGTTTTAAACGTATGTGGAGGGCGAGATGTTTGAAATATTCTGTCCATATAAAAATGTTATTTGTTGTTATTGGGCTTGTATTGACATGGATATCCTTTAAACAACAAGGAAGTTAGTGTAATTATACCTACAGAGCTGTTTTCTTTACCTTTTTTTTTTTTTTAATTCGGAAAACTTTAACAGCGTTGTTTGCTGTAATGGTTCTCTGCAAAGAGGAGTGTCAATATTTGTATTATTGTTTGATATTTCAGAGGGTCTTATATTTTTCCACTTGTCAAAAGCTCCAACAAAGTTTGCTTTTAAAGTGAAAAAAATGATGAAGAAGTGTATGTCCTTTCGATAAGATGTCTCAACAGCTATGGATGACATTGAGCTCAAATGGGCAAAACAATACATGTACAGGATGATAGTGAATCCATTCCTCACACTAGTCACTTTCATCTGAGCCTTGACATAAGAAGTTCTGTAGATTGGTGACGAATTAAAGGAAAAACCAACCTAAAGTGTGTTAGTAAGGTGTTGGGTTATTTTCAGTGCTCCTTGGCTTTAATTTTCCTAGTTTCTGGAACTCTACTGAAAGAATGAAACACAATTCTTCCAAAAGACATTCCCTCATTTTCTGTCCCTGGATCCCCTCGCTGTAGAGACGCAACTTTCACACCTACATTGTACATCGCACACGCTCTCGCCCACTTGTTAAGAATAGGGGGGACGATGACTCATCTGACTTCATCACTTGTTCCACACCTCTGTAGACCAGCGCGTATATCTATTGCAGCACTGGATTCCCATATGTGCACTACCTGCCTTTATGTATGAAGGTTTTTTCCTTTAATTTGTAACATGTTTGTTATTTATGTGATGGAGCACTAAGCACAGTGTAAGTTTCCTACACCCACATGCAGAAAACCTTTTTGGTTTGTTCTGAAAGCTTTTCCACGTCGCTAAAAGGCATCTTGATAATCAACCAGATGTATTTTGCTGTAAAGAGCTTATTTGTAGAAAGGTGCAACAGCTTTTAAAGAGCATCTTCAGGTCATGTTAATGGTGTTTTGAGCACACGGTGAAAATGCTAACGGTGAATGCGTATGTTCTGTTATCAGAGTGGATTTCTGACCCCCACTGTTGTTCATATCATATGAGGGACATCAAAGCCCTTTGAGGTGGGATTACAGAAAGTCATTTGAAGGTTTTTTGCAGGTATGAATCTGTGTGTTCCTGTTTCAGGCTCCCACATCAAGAGGGTCAGTGAAATCATCACCTAAGCAGGAGTCAGAGGAGGTAAGCCCCAATGAAAGAGTTGTTTTTCATGCACTTTCACGGTATCTTGGAACATTTAGTAATCCAGAAGTTCTTTGCTTGTGGGAATCTGTGATAATTCTTCCAACGGATTGTGGTTTAGTTTTATTCTTCTGGCAACATTTAGTTTTATTTCGCAGAAACTGAAGACCCTTTTGTCTTGAGTTTGCTGTCCATTGTTTTTCTCATGTAAATATTTTAAGGCTGCAGCTGTCACCATCTTTGTCGTGTTACAGGTGTCATTCTCGTCTGTCACGAGATCACCGGGAACGATGCTGTTCATGTGTTCACACGCAGGGTGTCAGTCATATCACAGACAAACCCAGTTGTTGGGACTGTTTATAGATTAGAGCTGCTGCCTCGTTGCTGCTCACATAGCTGGAGGCACCACAGCTCCAGTTTAGCTTGAGATAAGAAGCTAAAACGTCAGATCACCGACTGTGATACTTCTTTAGCCAGCATCTAAAGGGAAGAGGATTACTAGAGGTTTCACCAGTCTACTTGGTTAATAGTAATCAAGACCAGACCCTGGACTTGAGTCAAGCCAGATCGAAATAGTGTTTGCTCTGGCTCTGGGTATGATCCTCTGCTGTTTGCTCCGACCTCAGGAGTGTGTCAGTGTGTTAATATGTCATCATGTGGCGTGAAGAGACAAAGTGTAAGAAAAACAAAAGATGTATTACTCATGGTCCACACTAAGTTTCAGAGATATGCTTACTATCTATAGGTCCTGAGCATCTTTTAAAACATTTTTGAGTAATTTTTACGATTTTTAAAATCAAATTTCAGGTTGTGTTCTCTCTCTCTCTCTTTTTTTTTTTTTGTTTCACTCGTCTGTGTCGCTGATAGCTGTTTTCGGGGTATTTGTCCCATTCGCAAGTCTGTGATGCCTTAACTTCCTGAAGAAACATACCAATATGTGACACTTAAGGGTGAACTAGTTTAGATTTTGGTGGTCACTGTGACCTCATGTTTGACCCTTTCTTGTAACAAAGGAATGCCCTGAGGGAACAGCAAATTATTAAATCCTCTAAAATCCAACACAAGCCTCCTGTAAAAGAAGATGAGTTATTTGTAAGGAAATGTGAGCAGTGCGTAAACCCTGAGCTGTGTTATAAACCACTGAAATACCTTGTTCCAGTTCAGACATAATGGGAAATATGACAGTCAGTGATGAAATCAGTTTTTGTATAATCTGTGGCAGCTTTCAGTGTTTACTGCTCTGTATCTGCACTTAACTGAATAAATAACAGAGCTGGAGAATGCTTAATTATATTAATTAAACTCTCGGACCTCTAGGTGTAAATTAATACTGATCACGCAATGCTTCACGCCAAACTGAAGCAAGTGTTTGTTTTCAGTCTTGTGAATGTGTAAAATCTGGAATTTCCCTCGTAGCAGGATGACGTTTTAATTATGAGAAAAGCTATTCTGTGAATGTGTAGCAAGACCCACTGGGGTTAGATAATAGAAGTGGATTGTAAATGGCTTGCTTGTTTAATGGCTGTCAGCAACCAGCCCATCATTGCTGATTACTTCTCCCACAGGTCCCCTCCACTCTGTTTTCTCTGGAATGAGATGTCAGAATGTGCAAGATCAATCAGAATCAGTTTTTAAGCCACAATCTGATCATTTGTGTCATACTTTGAGCTATTTGGAGTTTGTTGATGTAGAAACATGAGAAGCCCAACAATGGAGCCTTGTGGAACTCCATGTATTTATTTATTTTTTGTGCTCAGATGTTTAATTACTAATCAAGGCAGTGCTGTCTGCCCTTCAAGTAGGATTCAAACCAGTGTAGCGCTGTGCTATAATGTTCTTTACTGTTTCTCACTCTGTATTGTACTATGTTGCAGTATGTTGAATGAGTTTAATTCCTACCAAGACTGAAATCGGGCTACAGTCTGTATTAAAGTGGATGTTCAGTCACTCTGCTGTGATGAAGTTGAAATTCTGACTGGAGAGCATCAAAAGCAGTATTTAGACCCGAGAAGTATTACTTTTGAAAAAAAACGCCTTTCAGTGATTTAAGTCCAAGATCAATAGGCTTCACCCTGTCATGCAGTAGAAGAACACAGATGAGAGACTATAAAGCAAAGCTGCTGACATAATGACAGAGTTGGAACTTCCTACTCTCAGCGTGTGCACTCTTCCTGTTAGTTCCTGTTGTCTGAACGTAGAAGTCTCTACACAAATGAGAAAAACATAACACATCACGGAATTGCCCCAAATTGGATTCAACTGACAACTGTTTTATGTTAGTACTAAGGTTTGGGGACAATGAAGACTAATTTAGTAACTGTGTGCAAGCTGGTGAGCATCGACTGAAATTAGTGTCACAAGATCATAAAGATGTTAATTTTTATATCGATGTATATTATCTGATGTGGCGTATTTACAGCAAATTACGTTACTGTCAAAACTGAGGTTAATGTTTATGTGATTACTAAACTGAAGCATAATTGTAGGTATGACGTCAATTGACATAAAAAGCTAAAAGGTGCGTTTTTGTCAGTCTTAGAATGAAATGAGTCAGCGGAGTTGTGCGTCTCATCTAATTGCTAAACTGAGAACAGCGAATTAGATTTTCCAAATTTAGACCAAACCTAATTTGTTGCCTTTTTCTCTCCAGGTTGGGGCTTTTCGATTTTGAGAAAGTCAATACAGCGCTGTCTTAATGCTTCATCTTCCACTGTGCTGTCACGGCTGACCTACTTTGTCTCCCTCTTTTTCTTCCTGTTAGAAACCGAAAAAACCACCTCCACCATCAAAAAGTGCAGGTAAGGAGCACTTCACACACTGTGTCTCATTAAATGCACTCAAGCAAGGAGTTCTGCTTTGTGTAGCTTACAGTTGAGTACCCTTCTTCTCAACACAAAATGTATTCCTCGCTGCTTCTAAACATGAAGAGGTGCACTGGAAGGATCTTTTATGATAGTGTCCAGTTACTTCTAGCTTTCAGTCATTGCACAGATTGCGTGGTAACAGATTTTCTAATTTTACCACTCAAAAACAAAAATCTAATTTGCCAACCAAGAATGATTTGAAGAGTTGTTTTCTAGGGATAATATAAAAGCCTTCTGTTCATACGCTGGTTAACATGTGACATCATTGGGCTGGATATTCATGTGAATTTAAAAATGAGTTTCTTCTAGTTTCTGCAGAGTTTAGCTTGTTAAATTTTCGACTTTGTAAATACCACTTAGAATGCAGTTCAGTCCTTTATTCACCATTATAATGGTCCAAGTAGAAAAGTAGAGTAGGGACAAAAATGGGTGAGAATTAGTTATCATTGTGTCTCATCTTCTATCACTCCTCATTAGCGTACAGCATTAATTCCTAATTATGCAATGAATAGAACGAACGCAGCCGGGATCTGGATAAGTGGTAGATGATTGGTGGACTAATTACATAATTAAAAATGATTAGTTTATTTAATTAATTTAAGTGCGAAAATTCATGCTTTCTCATTGTAAGCCGATGAGTTTGTTGGCAGTAGTGACTGAAAAACACAACATATACTGATGGACAATCCCACGTTTGCTTTATACCTGTAAAATGTCTCCGTACGCCCTGTTGTCAGACACAAACACATTTTTGTGAAGCATTACTACCCATAATTCTCAGGCTTTTGTCAGTGCGAAAGAGAATTTAGAGTATATCCATAATAACACTGGAATATTGTCCCTCACGTCTTTTGTGTTCGTCTGTCTTATGGTGATAAACAACCATTTGAAGATGAATTCCAGTCGATTCCTATCATACAAAGTGATTCCTGAAAATGAAGAGATTTCTGCAAATGCAGGACAGTTTAGATGTAATTGGTCTTCAGCAGAAATCCTGTTTTTCTTATCTCCTTAGAGCGCTCTCCAACTCCTTGGGGGTTTAGGTTATACCGTCTTCCAGTCAAAGAGGACAGTGCTCGTTATTTCCGTATCAAACGCCACCTTCCAGTAAAGGACACTGTATGAGGACTTTCTGCAGCAGCGTTTGAACAAGCAAAATATAAACTTGTAGCGTTTTCTTTTTTCCACCTCCTCACCCACAATCAGCCCTCATAGCCTGCTTGTTTTATAATTTCGTACGGCCATGTGTAAACATGTGTAGAGCTGCTGTCTCTTCATATCAGCAGCACAGGGAGGAGGAGGAGAGGATGGATTCTGCCACAAGGCTTTTAGCTGCTTTATGAAGTCAGGCAAACCACTAATTAGTCTAACAGCATATAAAGTTATTCTAATAACTTTTGTGCCCTAATCATGCTTGACAATAAGGAGATGTGACCTGTCTACATATTTATAAATGCACCCAAAATAAACAAGGTTGATAGAATCTTTAGATCACAGTAAAGATGGCTAGGCTTTGCGGTTGTACTGGGAAAAGTTGTTAATCTAAGAAATATATAGATATTTTTTCTTTTTGCATTTGTCAACAAATCTTACCAGTTCTGGTTTCTGCATCAGCTAGAATAAGCAGGTAATCTGTGCATTTCTACATCGTCACAAAGGAACAAAACAAAGCAAAAAAAAACTGAACTATATGGTTACAATACGAAATGTGATCAAAAAGTCCCAAAAGCCGACCCTGATTTATCTGCCGTCCTCGTCAGAATAGTTGTCTTCTGCAGTGATGGAGCACTCTGAGCACTTCTGCAGCACTTGCAACGCTCCCTGGTAGTCCCACTTTGTAAACATGTCAAGCTTCTTCTGTGATGGACACTCAGCCGCCTACACAGTGTCAAAACAGCGATCCTTCAAATTGAATTTCATTTTGGGGAAGAGGAAGGAGTCACAGGGAGACAAATTTGCTGAGAAGAGAAGTGAGGAGTGATAATTGTGTTGTTGTGGTTTGCTGTAATCAGGTGTTCAGAACATTGGAACGACATGCTATAACGTTACGGTTCAGGTAGATTCCACCTAACATTCTCCCTCAGACACCTCAAGATGTACAGTTAGAAGTCTACCTTGACAGTCCATCCCTGGGGCATGAATTCCTGTCGCAAAACCACATGGATGTTAAAGAAAACCACCAACATGCTCCTGGTGTGCTTCTGACCTGGCGCGCCTCGTCTAAGTTTGGAGACAGTGAAAAGTGCTGCATTTGGTGGTAACTGCAGATTCACTATCGTCACCAGCTATGATTGGCTCATCCCTGCTGCTGACTCACAGAATGTAACGTTTCCATCTCTGTGTCAGTTTGAGGTCCACGGAGAAATTGCAAATGCACACCTACCAGTGGTCAAAATTCAATTCAATTCAATTTTATTTGTGTAGCGCATATTTACAGCAACAAGTCATCTCATAGCGCTTAACAAAGGCAGAGACAGAAACACCCAACAATCCAAAACATTTGGATTCCCTATAAGCTTCAGCAGTACGCTAGCAGTCCGCAACAGTGGGAAGGAACCGAAGCCCCCCCACAGGGGAAAAAAACCTCCGACAGAACCAGGCTCAGGGAGGGACGGCCATCTGCCTCGACCGGTTGGGTGGATGTAGGATGAATTATAAAATTTAGTTTGCAGTTAAACAAGTTATTAGAAGTTATTGTCCTTTTGTAACAGGAGGCATCATGGTGGGGGCAGCAGGATAGACATCTGTAACAAAGGTTCTACTGTTAATAGCACAGTTCTACGTGGTCTCCCACACACGTTGCATACGTGTCTCGTACCACGAGCAGTCCACGAACCTTTTGATTGCACCATGTAGAACGTTTTAAATTATTTGTCTGGGAATGACCTTGATCTCTTGTCACACCCATGCAGCCATCATCCCCCTTTTAGTGTTCCAGTCTGTGTATTCTGTGTTACTGCTGCAAAACCCAAAGGGTGTATTCTGATGCCAAAACATCTGCAATAACAGCATCATTATGAGCTGGAAGCCTCTGCTGTAACCTCTGATTCTTGTTTGCATTAAACTGATTGAAAAGCTTCCATGAAACCCTGTTACAGATGAAGGAGCATTCTACTTTCCGTCTTACCAGACATGAAAGTCGAAGACAGAGTTACCTCTCTCTGTTTTTTTTTTTGTTGTTTTTTTTTAAGTGGTTTAGTTTTACTGTACAAGAAGTCCTGATATCGGCACCAAGCTACAGTTTGCAAAATGCACAGTTGCATCATTGTTTTTCTGTCTGCACAGGAAGTCACAGAGTTTGCATTCATACCCTGCTACCACTGCATTGTGTTGCAGTTTGCCGTGTGCACATCTGACATAAACAAAACCACAAATGGGTAAACAGTACGGGGGTTGTGCCACTCAGACGTTAAAATGAATCTATATGTGCTAAACTCAGGTCTGTCTCTCTATGTATGGTAGTAGGCGGATTGGATGTGTTTGTGTGTCAGAGAGCGGTGGTTTCTTTGTGGGATTGTTCTTGTGAAAGTGTGCATTCCTGCTCAGTGTCTGCTGAATCTTGAATCAGTTCAGTCAGACAAACGAGGTGACTCTGCGTACACCATGTTTCGTTTTTCAGCTCTCAAGCCAGAGGTCCCCAGTGCCGACAAGAAGCCTCACCTCGTCAGGCCAGAGGACAGAGGTACAGCCGGACTCTCCGTCTTTCCTTGCGTCCATCTTTACCCTCCCCATCTCGTCTCATCCTCCCGTTTCCTCACGTTGTTGACAGCTTTGCTCCACACGTTAGAAGCTTTCTTTTTCTTCTTCTTCTTTTGACGTTTCTGGCACGACAGAGTAGACAAACCTCAGTCCCACATTTGCTTCCCTCTGTGGCCTTCTTGTTTGTGTACTCTGTCTGAAACCGCTTTTAGTGCATTCATCCTTCCTACTCCTGCTCTCTAAGCTTCAGCACTTGGTCTCTTATTCAAGACGAGTGGGTTTGCAGTCTTTCTCTTTGCTGCGTCACAACTGCATTGTCTGCAGCTCTTGTAATGCTCGTTTGAGGATGGATTTGCTGCGTATTTTAGCCTTTTGTATAAAGTTGTAATATTTTAGGGCTATAGTCTCTGGATCGACTGGTTTATTGGTTGCTCGATATGCTCTCATTTGACTGAATTCTCAGTCTCACTGGTGTTCGTTTTATAAAGAGAAAAACGCTAAATCAATAGCCTTTCTGAATGTATTCATTATTTTTGGCAGCAGAAGGAGCAAATTACCTCGCATGTTTTCCCAGCTTTGAACTCGCCAAACCTGGCAGAACTGCAAAGTCTAACTTCTTTAACCTTTACCGAATGTTTGCTTGGCTTGTGTGGGCTTCTAACCTATCGACACCATGTCAAATAAGACGTGTGGCTGCGCTTTATTAAAGCAGAAGGCCAAGAAGTCCAGTGTAAACTTTACAGACAGCAGTTTGCAAATCACAGGTCAACAACCGACATGGCAGATCATCTCAAAACAGAAGGCTAACTTGTCTGCGTTGTGTACCTCAATAGTTCTTGTGCTCACATCACCAGTTTATATATTATTAAGAAATCATAGTAACTTGGGCTGCTGGTCAGCTTTCAATCTGTTGTAATCATTTGAGTGTAAGATAACGAGGTTAAAATGATTGAATATGCTGCAAATACCAGCTTTTAATCTTTTTTTCTAAGTTATTTTGGTAGATAGTTTATGTCGAACTACATATTCTTCATTGACTGCAGCCCTAGTTTTAGTGCAGCAGTGGGAGTTTAAATTGAGAACACAGAAGTTAACATTGCGCTTTTTGTAGCAAACTAATCTTGAGTTAAATGCGCTTTTTCTGCAGCACTGTACTGCCACTGGCCAAGCAACGTCATCCCGCTGCTTCAAATTCTTTCATAGGCCAGAAAACTCTCAATGAGTGACAACTGTCAGAGAAAAGCTTTTATCCATCGCTGCTCTTTTCCTGTAAAGGCCCAAACTACATCAGGCAAAACTCTTGTCACCGGGTGGGAGACAGTTTAAACGTTTTAGGAGGGGAAGGTTTACCACGAAGACTGTCCACCTTGGTTGTTTCTTTGCATTTTTTAATTCTCTATTGCTCTTTTTTTTTTTTTTTCACCCATTAAACTTTTGCTCCTTTATTTGCTCTAAGTTTAATAGAGTAAACTTCATTTATCTGTTTAGTAGTTTTATTTTTGAACCTCCAGAAACACTGAATCAATTTATTAAATGTTACATTTTTATTGTTTTAGGTGACGCAAATAAGACAAGGAAAAAATAAATACAATAAAAAAAAAAAAACACACACACACACACATATATATATATATATATATTTCCCCCCACCACATTTTACGAACAAGATATTTTATTTTTAGGGGTATATTGTAATTGCAATTTTGTGATTTAAAAAAAAAAAAAAGTTTTTGTATTTTCCAGTTTTTTCCACTAATAATTTAAAGAGATTTTTGGCCCTTTTTTTTTCTTTTTTTCAATCTATTTTTCTCCAGAATATTTAAAATTTTTTGAGGGTATTTTCTCGGTATTCTTTCTATTTGAATACTGTTTTCATATGTTTTATTCGGAATGTTTTGCTGGGTTGTTGAATGCATTACTAGATAACAAATTAATTTATTCCAGAAATGGCGATAACATATTTTTTAATCATGTAGATAACCTTTTTTTTTTCCTGTGGTGACTGTTCTGTGACTGCAAGAAGCATTTATACCTGAGGACAGTTGTTTTTTTCTTTGTTTTTTAATTTTGTAATCCTTTCAAATTTTTGTTCAAGATCTTTCATGTCAAGTCATTCTTGTGCTGTCAGTGCTGTTTCTATCTTACCGAGCCACGCACAGGAAATGCGTATCTGTATGAAGCTGTCTTTACGGCTTTGTCACCGTCACCATCACATCAAATGCACCTTGCAAGACTTTCAGACTTCATTAAATGGGTGACTGGAGCCTTTTGTGAGAGAAGATAAGCTCATGCTGGCAAATGCTGTTTTTCTTTATTTTTCATGCTTATCTCTGTTTAATATCTCTTCCAGTGGTTCTGCAAGCTGCACAGAAATAATTCACAGTAATAGGATACTGCATACTACTGGAGTATTTGTGCTAACAGTAAAAAGATTGTAGTGATGGAAAATTGGGTGACAGTGACAGAAAGTAAGTGGCAGCAGGATTAGCATCACCTCTTGCAGTTGCTTCTTTTGCAGCACTGCCTCTGTTGCACACTTGTATACATTCCACCTCCTCTTCACCACGCCACCTTTTGGGTTTAGATGTTGTCACCTTTGCTCTTTTCTCACATCCCTGCTTAAACCTTTTCCCTACAAGTTAAAATACGAGTCACAAAGTGCAGATGCAGAAGCCCACTCTCTCTTAGCTTCTTCGCATGCATGACGGCTTTTTTTCTTTAAGTCTTCACTTAGTAATTAGTGTTATTTCCATCAGCTAGCCAGTTCCAGCACCCTTTAACCTCTTTGTGTCTTTATACCTTTATTATGTTGTTCTATTAGTTCTTCTTTTCTATTTATTTTTATCCCACTGCCTCTGCGTGGTTCTTCTTCTTTATGTCAGGCGTTGCTTCCTCTCTTCCTCCCTCCATTTGTTTCCTAGGAAGTCTCAAGGGAATGGGAACTCTTTTCAGAAACCCACAAAGCATATTTAAGTTCAACACGAAGAGACCAGCAGAAAAGCAGCAATGACTCCTTCACACGATGTCTGTGTTTTGAAAAAAAGCAGCAAATTACTCCTCTAGAAAGCATCCTTTTGTTGCCGCCAGCCTCTATGTATCCCATTTCACAATACAATTGATATCTGCATTTACGTATAGATGATGTCTCAAGCATTGAATGTTTTTCTTGGTTAAGAGGTAGCTGGCACACAACACAATCTAACAACTTTGTTCTACTTACTTTGCCGCCCGACAACAGAAACTGAAGGATGTGTGCAGCAGTGGAATGCAACACCATCAATTTTACCACATTGAAATTTGAGGCTACGTTTAAATGGCAAAAACTCAGAAGCTATTAAGGATAGAAGCCTGAGATGTTTACTGTTTTTTTTCTCATCGTGCTATTTATTGAGAATCTACAGTAATGGACAAGTAGGTGAAATAATCCATGATTACTGGTGAGTTGGAAAAAAAACTCAATCTGTCACAAAAAGTCAGATATGTGAGCATTAAAAAAAACTCAAGTTGTGAGATTTTCTGAACCATATATAGCTGCATTTCACAATAATACAAAACAAAACATACAGAATACTTTTTAAAATAAAAGACTTGGCCACAAAAATGAAAAAAAAAGGTCATTTTATTCATGCCTTTCCTAGATAACGAATGCTGTCTTTTTGGATGAATCAGAAGGATGCACTAAAACTGTAACGGGCAGAAAGTCGGATTAAAAGAGTCGACCGTGTAATAACATTTCTACCTGGGCAGTGAGTCATTCTGTTTTTCTGTGTAACATCCAGAGGAAAAAGCTTTGTTTAGTATCAACCAGTAGTTTTAGTACACTTAAGTGCTGTGTATGTTCCTGTTGTAACACATCAATGGAACCACTGCTGGGATTCACTGTCACCACTTACTTAACCATAACAGAAATCTGCAATCTAATGCATTTTCATAGGGGTGGATCTGAGAGTGACCTCACTAATGGGAGGTTTGAGACACTCACTTCCTCAGCTTGTATAGTTTATATTTCCCTGTATGGAATTTGTCACAGCGCATTAACTTACTAAAAGCATGAAAGATGTAATGTAAGAATTAAAAATCTTCAAGAGGATGCACCTGTTTGTTAAGTAGGGTTTTTAGAGGTTAGTTCCTTCCGTTTTCTGAGCGTTTTTATGACTGTACTCCAAAAAGAACAAAATGTCATCAGCAGGTTAACGACTGTCCGCAAAAAGTTCAGCTGTGGGGAAAAAAAGGAAATCGGCAGACATCAGTTTGTCCTGGTCATCTTGTCTGTGCATGACATAATCCCCATCAGTTGGCCTCAGTTACTGTGTGTAGTTTGGTGGCAGGAAGGTGAAACTTAGTTTATTCAGCTTTTTATTCCACAACTCCTCGCTAATCTAATCTCTCTCTCCCTTGTGTTTTTCTTCTCATGTCTTTTTGCCTGGTCTTAGTTGACAGGCCCTCACCAGATCACAAACCTTCCAAGCCTGCAGCGCCGGTGGTCCCGCCCAAGAAGCCCATCCCTCCTCCAGGGAAAGGCAGACCAGGAAGCATCCCACCAAAAAGGCCTGACAAGCCTCTCGCTCCCTCGCCAAACCTCAAGTAAGTGTCATGTCACTGCTTATCTCTTCATTAGGTCTGTTTGTCCATCAGTCTGACAAACTCCTGTGCTTGTCTGTTGATGCAATATCTGTGTAAGTCCTGGTGCTTGTATATTTATATTAAAAGACACTTTTTTATTGACTTCAATGTCAAGAAACAGCAGTCTGTTTAAAGGAAACTACAGCTTCTACCACAGTAAATTCTGAATGTATTCAAACTCCCTCAGTTTTTTTCCCCACATTTTTTGTGTTGGAGATGTAACTTTAAATCAATACAATTTCCATTTTTGCCCATCAATCTACTCTCTGTACAATGACAAAATGAGAGCACATTTTTAGAAATTGTGCAGAATGAATGAATATCAAGAACTAAAAACTTCCAAGTATTCAGGCTCCTTATTTTAGTAGGTTGTAGAAACCCCTTTAGACAGCAATTACCTCACTGGTAGTGCAGCTTATCTCATTCTTCCTGACAGATCCTCTCAAGCTCTGCTAGATTGGATGAAAAGTGTCTGAACTGCCACCTTGAGGTCTTGAAACAGATGTTGTATTTTGTTTGAATATAGGCTTTGGCTGGGCCACTCAAGGACAGTCAGAGACTTATCCTGAAACCCCTCCAGTGTTGTAGCTGAATGCTTTAATTCACTGAACTGCTCTCAGGTGAACTGTCGCCTCAGTCTCAGGTCGCTACACTCTGGAGCAGGTTTTCCTCTAAGATCTCTCTCTCTCTGTGTTTGGCTGCATTCATCCTGCTCTCAGCTCTATTCCTGCTGCTGAGAAACATCCCCACAGCATGATGCTTCCACTACTGTGCCTCACCGTAGGGATGGTATAACCAGATTATGAGCAGTGCCTGGCGCCACAGAGTTTGCAGTTCTGGTCTTCCTTTTGACTCATCAGACCAGAGAATCTGTTTCCTCATGTTCAGAGTCCTTTCAAAAATGTTTAGCAAACTCTAAGCAGGCTGTCGCATGCTTTTTGCTCCAAATGTCCTTCTGACAGGTTCTCCCATCTCTGATGAGACCATCTGACTTTCTGGTAAAGTCACAGTTGAATTTTTAGTCACCTTACTAACCAAAGCCCCTTTTTTTTTCTCCGTTTCTCAGCTTGGCTGGATAGTCAATTTTAGGAACGGTCAGTGTGGTTCAAAATGTCTTTCATTGTACAGCCATTGAGGCCACTGTGCTCCTTGATGCACTCAAAACATCTGATTTGGTTTTCTGTCCTTCCTCAGATCTGTGCCTCACCACAGTTCTGTCAGTTGAGGTCTACAGAGTGTTCATAGCTCTTTTTTTTTGTGCGAACCAGTGGTGTGAATTGTAGGACCTTATTTACACTTTGTGGGCAGCTGTGGCTCAGGTGGTAGAGTGGTTGTCCTCTAATCGCAAGGTTGGTGGTTGGATCCCCCCACAGTCCACAGTCCAAGTGTCCTTGGGCAAGACACTGAACCCAAAGTTGCTCCCAATGGCAGGCAGGCGCCTTGCATGAGAAATGCAATGAAAAATCATTGTAAAGCGCTTTGAGTAGCACTAAGGTCAAAAAGCACTATATAAGTCCATTTACACTTGGGGTCACTTTGCAAACTATGTCCAATCAATCCAGTTAGCCACAGGCGGACTGTAGTCAAGCACAGACTTCTGACAGCTTGTGGAGTGCCACAGCAAAGTGTCTGCTTTTGCGATTACTTTTGTAATTAGGATAGCTTTGTCTGGGAAAATTTTATAAAGGATTTTTATAGTTTGTGAACAAAAAAGTGTGCAAGAAGTGAAAGAATACTTCCTGAATACTTTACAGCATACTGTAGAAAGTAATATCTAATGTCCTTTACACAGTTTGGAAGAATTCAGTTGACTTGTTTTTTTCCTTCTCTCTTCCATTTTTCTATTTTTCCTACAGGCACAATGGAGAGTTGCCTTCCACACGACCAAAGTCTGACTTTGAGCCATTATTGCCCACCAAACCCAAAACACTCTCTGGAGACTGGGGGGAGAAGTCCTCAGACATTGGTATGTACACATTAAGTCAGTCTGCTGCATTTGGGTGATTAGTTTTGCTATTGTGTCAATATCTTGATTATTTTAACGACAGAAGACTTTCAGGATCATGGCCTCTAGAAACCTGCGTTCAGATACAAAACCACTTAGAATTGTTTTGTTATACAGTCTGTGTCTTTTGCCCACAAACAATCAATTAGTTACACAAATCAAATCTGCTGTGGCAGCATTCATCTGTGTGTGTGACAGCTCACATACCATTTCTAAAATTGCTATTAATTTAGCAATTTGTTTTCCTTTTTCTTTTGATTCACATATGCTAAATTAACTTGTATAACTCTGAAGAGCCATGAATTTCCTTCCCACCATTGCTGACCGTTTGCTCAGAGGGAGTCCTAAGGCATCTTGGATTCTTGGGTTCTCTGTTTAAATTTGTAAGGTCTGTACCTTAAGTGCTGTGAGATGGCATATGTTGTAAACCGCTCTATATAAATAAAATTAAATAGAGGGTTTTATTTATGTTATGTTTTATTTATTTATGTTACCTGCCTAATTTATGTTCACGCACTTCATTTTGGCTCAGTGGGAGAGCTTCTACTGTGATTCTGAGGCTCCCTGTACCGCTCCTTCTTTTGAAAGAATGAATCTGCTAAATGTTGCACAGACAACCTTTAATAGGATTTTTTTTGCAAAAGTTTCTTCATACATTGATATGCAAATGTGCTAAAAAAAAAAAAAAAGCAGTGGAAGACATAGGGAAGACATGTCAAGTTTTCGCTGACATCACTTCTAAAATGAAACTGCAGCTCATTGTAAGTCAGAAATCCCAAAAAGGGAACTTTGAAATGGAGCAGAGATAGACACATTGAAAAGATGAATAGTTTATCACAGGGAAAACAGAAAACGAGGCAGAAAGGTCACAGAGATATGACATCTGAGGTGTATTTGTGAGAAGTGGCCCGAAGGTATTTCACTCATGGGTGCTCTGTTTGTGACAGATGCCTTGTAAAGGTGCTAAAGAGGTGCTAAAAGTCCACACAACTCCCCAGAAGCCAGTCTGTCACGCATTGCCATCGAACATGAAAATTCAATCTTTCTGTGCAATTACAGGCTACAGGCACTGCTGTCTAACTGCAGCAGTTTACCACTGAGAAGTGCAAAGTGCTGTTACACAACAGCTGCTATAGTTTTTCAGGGTTTCATTATAAAAGTGCAAAAGACTCATTTTGTTGCTGTGTTTTAGTTTGTTGTGTTCTATGCCCATGCACGTAAACAAACTTTTTGCCAAGTTACCTTCAATGTGCAGTTAAATGCTTATTGTAGCAGTGGCCCGTTGTTTCATCCGCTGCAGAAAGAGCCAGGCCTTAAACCTTTAACTCCCTGTAATTACAGTTAAATCAAAATCAGCTTTATCAGAATCAAGGAATTTGACTCTGGTTTTGTTATTACTCTCAATGTACAGAGGAATAGACGAAACACCTGCGATCAAGGTCGACAAAGCTGAACAAAGAAAGCTAAAGTGTGGCCACAACTGTTAGGCAGCTGCCTCAATCTTGTTTGTTCTTTTTTAACAAAGAAATGCTGTTTGGCTAAGACCTGTAGTTTCAAATGGACAGCTAGAGATCCATGCCTTTTTTACCAAGGATGGTATTGTGCCTTTTTGCTCACTTGTTAATAATTTTCTACTCGGTAAGTGATTGTGAATGCTGCCATGAGACCATTTGCCAGATAGACTCTTATCACCCCTTTACTTGTATCTCCTCACTGGCTCCCCAGCGCTCTCAGTGAAGTGCAGTTTAAAATTTTCAGTCCTGCTTACTGAGCGTTGTACAGTTCGGCTGCTACGTATGAGACAGATCTCCTTCACTTTCATGCTTCAGCTTGCTTACTTAGGTTAGATATGGTGAATTAACTCTGTCCCATCTACCTGCCGAAGGATCTTTCATTCAGTTTCTATCCTATCTATCTTCTGCAAGTGGTGCTTGTAAAGCTCTGTGTGTGTTCAGGGTTGTGCACAGGAGCTCAATATCTTTTTTTTCTTTCTTTCTTTCTTTCTTTCTATCTTTCGTTCTTTCTTTCTTTTTAACAGAATTTGATTAGTTTGAGCTGTTTATTTTTGGCGACTTCTTAAATCTGACATGGAGAATAAATAGATTTTAATGAAATGTCACGTTTTTAAGCTTTGATCTGGGTAATTTCTCAGATGTCACAGTTGATTCGTTTAAGAACCATCAGAAATTTGAAAATCTGCCAATTCTTTGTATTTCTACAGATTCTGGCTTTGATAAAGGTTATATTTTTGGCATTTAAAAAAAAAAAAGATAACATGCCTTTTGGGATGCTTTGAAAATCTACATGGTACTTAATTGTACTTGTGTAATAAAAATGATCAAAATGGCACTTGCAAGTGATCCTTTCTGCTTGCTCCATTATGTTAACTTTTGTTTGTTGTAGTTGCTTTTTTGTGTTGTGCATGCTTCACTACACAAATCACTGTGTGCAGCTCTTGAACATTTACACCACTGTCTATCGCCGTCTGTCTCCTCTCAGTCTCCCGAGCTTGCATTGACTGCACAGACTCTGAGACCACGGATGTGGCTCTGCTGCCTCGTGCCACATGTCTGCTGTTGTGAGAATGTACATTCCCTTTCAAAAGACGCATGCTTAGAACAGTGGTGAGCTATCATCGTCCCCTGAGGATGCCTGCAAGAAAAGGAGACAAGATCGCTTATAGACAACAAAAAGTCAAACTGGACAAGTCAAACAGAGTAGCTAGAAGAAGTCACCCTGACAAACTAAAAGAGAGGCTGAAAACAAATGTGTCTCTGACCCCTCACATCCAGCACACAAACTGGACTCCTCCCCCCAGCAGGCGTTTTTGATCCCTGAGAGCCAAAATCACTCAGCTTAGAAGAACTTTATCCCACAAGCTGTTTCCATTAGAGCTCTTGCAAACTTGCAGTGAAACAGTGTCCCCACTTCTATTTATTACTATACAATATATTTATATATGTGTGCAAATTTTTCTGTTAAAAAAATACCTTATTTTCACAAGTTATTAACATAGTTTAGCTTCAGCCTTCTTCTATTACTGTTGTGTGTAAGAGTTCCTTATGTTTGTGTCAGAGTAGTTGTAAACCAAAAAAATCCTGTTGCACCAAATACAAAAATTTTGCAACCTACATTCTTACATAAACAATTGTAGTTTAAATAACTCCACATCTTTTGTGTTTTCTACCCAGCCTGTTCCAACATTTAGTCTTTATTTGTTTATGCTGTTGCTTGACACTTAGAATGTATTTTCATATTTTGGCATTTATTTGATGACCTAAAGTAGTCACTGTTTGTTTTACACAATGTTCACACTCACAGTAGTGCTGGACTAAGAGAATTTATATTATATAGCATTGTGCTAATTCTGCTCTTTGCAACAGTTGAGATGCTCTTTCTTTTACACTGAACATGACCTGTGAGCAAAAGTACCCCCAAATAATTACTGCATCGTCACATTAAATTGCTAACAATTACTATCGGAACCAAATTGTTACCAGCTGAAGCATAAGGAAAGGTAATTTTGTCCTCACCAGAGAATATGACCAACAAAAAAAAAAAAAAGAAAAACCACGGCTGTGCATAGTAATTATCTATTTCATTATTCATAAAAGAATGTGTGCACTACATGTGGTTGAAGCCAAGCATTAGAAATAAAGCCTTTGGAAAAAATTAGCATCGTACATCACCATCTCCGTGGGACCATGAATAATTACAGTAAAATAAAGAGGTGAAGGGAACGAGGAGGAATCTCATGTTTGAAGAACACATGTGACTTAATAAGGATCGACTGTTCCACCAAATAGAAGAAAGGAAAAACCGCCATGTGGATGAGATTACCTCTCTGGAAGATGGAATAAATTATTTTATGGTGCTTAAGTGGCTTAATGTCGCTGACTCGAGACCTGACGCCTCACACATCACAGAAATTGTGCTTTAGGAAGTGTAGGTACATCATGGAGAACATGCAGCTAACAGAGCATTAAGGTCTAACTATAGAGAGGAAAATGGAAAATTACTAAATGTGTGTGATTTTTCCCTCCGCCACTGCTAAAACTTTCATTAATGTCCTCAGAGTCTGTAACCATCAGTCGGTTTGCGTTATTTAACATGGCCGACTTCAGCAAAATGTTCTTTCGGTATATAGACTCTGATTGTACAAGGTTAAGTAAAGCTTTGTTTGTCTGCCTTGTTGACCAATTAACACCTAAAAATGTGTTTGCTAATGTCAGCAGATTGCATTCAAATTGAATTTATTGCACTGAAATTGAAATTAAGTTGAAAGTGTCATTTCATCTGAAGTATGTATCCCATTTGAAAAATAACTCTCTCTGTTGCTTTCCTTCCTCTTTCGGTCTCCTCTGTCCTCAGCAGATCTGATGAGTTTTGATGAGTTGTCGTCTACCTCGGAGAAGCTCTCTCACCCCACAGCTAACAGACCAAAGATGCCTGGCAGGAGGCTTCCCGCCCAGTTTGGTGGAGGACATTCGGTGAGGACGTTGAACAATTTCTCCCCAGCGAGACAAAATATCCCGTCAAACTTCTGGCTGCATACACACTGATTTTCATTTTAAATCTTGTTGTAAAAATACTGTTAAGTGCAATACAGAAGACACCTGATATGTAACTGGCAGTGCCCTTTGCTTTAGATGGTTATCGCTATGTTCTTACTGGTCAAAGTAAATTATAGTTTGGTTTAGCCTGGCGTATTTACCAGTAATGTGGCTGTTGTGGCCAACAGAAGTTTGCACTTTTAACTTACATTGTAGAGCTTCATGGAAATGAGGAATCACCCAAAACAACTAGTGTTTAGCGCCAAATGAGCCTGAGCTCCCTGCAGCTTTACAAAGAAAGCTTTTTTGTGTGAATTATTTTAGGTAAACACAGACATTAGTTACCTAGAACAGCCATTTTGTTAACTGTACTAGCTTTTGCTCACCATAAGGTACACTGAGCGTTCTGTCACTCTGCTCTTTCATTCCAACTGGGGAGGTAAAAAACCATCTTCAAAGCCATATATCAGTTGTAGCTCCACAGCTGGCATTTCTCTCTTCCGCAGGCACACGGAGATTTTCCAAATCTGACATAAACAGGTTCCATTCTGCAACAACAGTTTTCCTCCTCAGTCAGCAATAGAGCAGTAATGCAAGAGCACCACCAGTTTCCCTGAAGTACATAGTCTTTTAGGACGTCCTTCTGCCTTTCTGCTTCCATCCACTGAATCTCGTCTTCAATTTGACGTAGCTCTGGACTTTAATTCCAGTAGATACAACCCACAATTAAACTGCAAAGACCAGCTGCTGTCCTCATTTTGATCTGACGTTGCATTTAACTGTCGAGTTTCCTCAGAAGACATAGTGACCACAGTGACCGTCAGACTCACACATGTAAACAAACCAGCGTGAATGGATGAATATGCAGGTGATTAAGCCAGCAGGGATCTGGAGAGCCCTAATGCAGTGTGCAAAATAGCTGTTCCAGGTGACTAATTTCTGTGTTTACCTTCAGTCCGGCTTGAAAACAAACATGAAAATAATTCATATAAAAACGTGCTGATTTAGAAAGCTTGAGAGAGCTCATGCTCATCAGCTCGCTTTAATCCCTGAATCAATGCAACAGAGTTAAAGAGTGCAAATTTATTATGACCTAAAGAGCAACAACAGCCACATTATTGGGAAATGCGACAGGTTGAAACAAACTAGCATTCCTACAGTAAATTTTAGGCTGGTCTCTGGTTCATGTGCTCTCAGCGACTAAATCTGTGGGACAGAAGAAGCATCTTTTTGGAACACCACTCTGCACCTGCAGGCTTACTGTGTTGTTTTTATAGTTCAACAGAGGAGAGAAATAATCTTCCCACATCAAATTGCAATAATAATATCAATATTTTAAACTGCTGTTGTAAGTTTTATGAAGTTAATCATTTAATTAAAATGGGGGCCGCAAAGGTGGCTCGGTGGTTTGTACCGTTGCCTCGCAGTAAGAAGGTCGCCGTTTCGCATCCCGGTCAGGACACCTGGGATCTTTCTACGTGGAGTTTACATGTTCTCCCCGTGCAGCGTGGGTTCTCTCCGGGTTCTCCGTCTTCCTCCCACATAGTCCAAAAACATGTTGAGGTTAATTGGTGATTCTAAATTGTCCGTAGGTGTGAATGTGAGTGTGCTTGGTTGTCTGTCTCTAAGTGTAGCCCTGTGATAGACTGGTGACCTGTCCAGGGTGTCCCCTGCCTTTGCCCTAAATCAGCTGGGATAGACTCCAGCCCCCCGCAACCATAGTGAGGATGAAGCGGTGTATTGATAATGGATGGATGGATTTAATTAAAATGCTAATAAGTCACAATTCCAATACTAACCATTTTATCTTGTGCACTCAAGAAAGTGTTATTCTGAATCTTTTCAGGATCTAGGGTTTAAAATTCTACCTTGTTCCCTCCATTGTAAAAGCACCAGTCAATGAAAACTACATGTGGGTGCCATTTGAAACGTTCCTGTAACCAATCATTGGCCAACACAATGTTTGAGGACACTGTAGTGTCTCTCATGGTTTTATTTTTCCATCACCAAACGGGAGATAGAACATGAATCCACAGCTTGCACTTTGACAGCCCCTTCCTGACCATGCTAGACAGCGTAAACACCCACTCAGTCGTAGCTCCCTTCACACCGGGGGCTCATCTCCAGACATCTTTTCCTGTAATTATCTTTCAGAACATTGACTTGTGTCAAAATGTCAGTCAGCCGTCCTTTCCCAGATAATTGTGAAGGATTAACTGTCAAGTGTCACAGAGGATTAGCGCTTTTCCTCACTGTTGGCAGAATATTATCAGATTTTTTTTTTTGGCTTTTATCGGTCAAGACAGCCTGTCAAAAATCCAATAATATATTAATGTCAATACTAAAAAATAATAAATCTTGTCCCTTGCAGCCTAACAAGGAAGTGAGTGTTGAGAAATCCTTCAAGATCGATGAAGAGGATGGAGCCAAACCAAAGCTATCAGAAACCAGAAAGGTAACTGAAAGCAATATTTTTCACCAATTTCAGATAACAAAGAGTGGAAAAGAAAATCATTGGCTGTTACTTAACTGTGCACATCTGAGTGTCAATACTCTCGTGGTTTGCTGACTATTGAAATGTCAGGGTAGAAGCATCTATTGAAATGTTCGTGTGAGGCTATACTCCGCTGTTAAAATGCGCAATAATTAAAAGGCCTTTGCCAGAGTAAGTGCTTCCGTAGAGGGTTTTTTTTGTTGTTTTTTTTAAGCGACAGTGTGATATATTCATAGCTTCTCAAACTTTGTGTATAGCAACCGCACAAAGGTCTTCACCCACACACACCTTCACTGAAGCCACTTAATTGGTACCTTTGGGACACTTCTCTGCATCGTAACAATATATATATAGAGAGAGATAGAGGACCGCCGCCTGCTGTTCAATCTTCCACTTCGGCATTTCATTAATTGCCTTCGATGCTATCTGGCCTGGATTGGTCATAGTTAGCCAGGGCTAATTACACCTGACTCTTCAGCTGGAGGGCAAATGTCTCCAGACCTGCCTGAACCACTCAGAGCAAAGCCCGGCTTGGACCTCTCGTAACCCAGCAGCTCAGACTCCCACAAGTGAGATTAGAGAGCATGGGCTGTCTGCGTCCTTCTCCTCACCCCGTTATTGTTTATAAATGAGACTGTGACCCTTGTGACATTTTCACTGCTGAAGTTTAAGAAAGAGAGCAGAAGGGAATATGTGAACCTGCAGGGGTAGGAGAGGTTGTAACCATGAAATTCCTTGTGGAATCTCAATTACTGGAGCCACACAGGTAGAAGGAAAGCATTTGGAAGAGTGATGCGTAGATGTGTTCGACCAGATAAGTGTATCCAGGAGTAAGAAAGTAATGTGGACAGGAACTGTATATTCAGACAGGTGAAAAGAAGGTGAAAGTCAAGAAACAAAACCAATGTATCCACGCTATTTAGCAGAAATAACCTGGTATAGGTGTTTTGCATAATCATCCACCAGTCTGAAATTTTGTTACATGACGTTTGAGGGTTTTCTCGGATGTTTCAAATCCCCCTACAACACTGCAATCAGATTCAAATCTGGGCTTTTGACTGGGCCATTCCATTCCTCGATGGATTTGCTGTACGCTCAGGATAATTATCTTGTTGGAAAATCAGCTTCAGCTTCCAGACAGATAGCTTCGTATTATCTTCAGTCATTCTCAGATATGGCGGAGAATTCACAGTTGCATCAACGAGTGCAAGCTGCTCAGTCCCTAAGGCACCAAAACAAAACCTCAAACCACTTTCTGCCAGCATGTTTCACAGCTAGCATGAGGTTCTTTACCCGAAAACCTTTTTTTTTTTTTTGTTCCGTGCCAAACATGTTGGCTGTTACTGTGGCCAAAAAAATCTATCGTTGATTCATCCGTCTGGAGCGCATAATTCCAAAATCTTTCTCTATGTGTTCATTGGCAAACTAGTTATCTATATGTATAGTTCTAATATTCTTTGTAGACAGCAAAGGCTTTTTCTTGGCACCAAAAGTTGCAGAGCTTCCTGCAGATCCTAAGATGCATTTTTAGGGTTCTTGGAGACTTTTTATTTCCACCAACCGGCCTGTTATTGGCCTAACTTTGCAAAGGCCGTCAGTCGCAGACAAACTGGCAGATGTTTGACATCTACGTCACGTGCTTCCACATGAGTCATTTCTTTATTGTATTTTTTAAAAATCTCTTTCTAGATTCACAGACATCAACAACCTTTTTTATGTGAAGGGAGCTCTTTATATGCTGGTATTATAAAACCACACACTTGAGTAGAAAATAGAGCCTAGAGGTGTCAGAGGTTCCACCTGTCACTCCCTGTGCAGGTTCTAATCACTGGCGCCTAACTAACCTGATTTGGATTTGGAGGAGTGAGAAAGTAGGAGGGTACTTTTTCCATGTGACTGATCTGTTTTGCTTTTTTTTTTTACTATGAAAATGGCTACACAATGTCAGTTTTCTATCGTTCGTTTGAGTGTGTCACCTTTAACTGTAGACAGCGTTTCAAAGAGGCTGTTTGCTTGTTTAAACATGTTTTAAAAAGATGCCAGTTCTCATGAAGTTATCATTTCATGTGGCTGTATGTTGAGAGAGGTACTGGTCACTGTAATCATTTTTCCTCTCCATATTGGCTGAGAGAGACACTTTTTTTTTAAACATAAATCCAACATAACAGATGGGGAGACAAAATCCACAGTCCTCTGTCCAAAATCAGCTAAGCTGAAGCTGATATTATCAGAATGAGCTGAGTAACATGGATACGTTTGTTGTGGTGCTCATATGCACTTTTTTTTGCCAGTTTTTGTCCCAGCCTCCCAAACCTACATGTGACCATCAGAATGTATCAGTTCACTGTTGCTCAGCAGGGAAGCTGTTCAAACAGAGTGGTTTTTGTAACATCAAGACAGAAGCTGTGACAGTAATTCTCCCAGTTGGGCAAACACATTGTTTCCTGCTCTTAAAAGCTTTGGCGAAATCTTGCACAAAGGAAGCATGTGGATATTTTTTTTTTCCTCAAAGTGGCTCAGAACTCTTTGAATATTGAGTACACATGGGCATGTCAGACTTGAAAAACTTTTTTTTTTCAACTTTATTTCATGTTTTTCGTTTTCTGTTTCATTCCTTTATTTCTATCTTAGTGTGTTGTATTTTGGGTATTTGTGCCTTTCCACAAGAGGCCATAATCAAACAGTTTCACACGGAAGAGCACACCATTGCACTAACATGCAATCGGCACCAAAACATACAGCAAAAAATTCAGTTTACTTAATTCTGTGTGAAGGCCGATATTGCTTCTTTATGCCTTTGCATTGTGAACAGGTGTTATATTAACGTGGTATTAATGTGCAAAATCTTGCATATTGCACCTTGAAGAAATGTGTCAAAAAAGCATCTAATACACTGTAGGTTGAGAACTTCATGTTTAAAGGTGCATATTTGCTGTGATGCTCTAGCCTTAGATACTTTTCAAAGAAACAAACCACAGTTTATTCGATGATCAATGTGAATAAAATGCGTCAGCACAACACTCACAGCTGCTACTTCATTCTTAACAACTAAGTAAGTGTGGCTACTGACTCATACATTAATTGGTTATTATAAATCACTTATGGTTATTCTGGTGATCAGCTTCACCTTGAAGCACGTCGGTCCTGGTGGAAGTGCTCCCTTCCAGTATGGCAGCACTCTGCTTAGAGGGTCGCTGAATGTTTTGAATATGAAAACAATGTGAGTCACACTTGCTGTGTCCTTTAGTCACTGGAAGTGTGAACCAATTATCTTGATGGGAGGTGCTAACTTTCACACATTTGGCAGATACGTCTTTAAAGCTGACCCTGTGTCTGTTTTGTCTTCACAGCCTTCCACAAACACCTTATCCCACTTACCGTCACTCCACAAGCCCGCCGAGGCCAGGCCGAGCCCGGCAGCAGCCCCGAGCCCAGACGTCGGCGCCTCTCAGGGCAGCAGGGCCCGAGTGGAGCCCGAAGAGCCAAGCTCCCAGCTGGAAGAGCTCAGGAGCCAGATGAAGGAGCTGCTGATGTCTGTGGAGCTGCTCAAGGCCCAGCAAATGTAATGAAACTGGATGAGAACAGGCTTTGGCAGGAGCATAATAAATTCATGTATTGCAGGAGAAATGATGATCCATACAATACTCAGCACAGTCTCTCTGAATTAGTAATAGGTATAGATTCTATCAAGCTGTTCTATCGCTTCAAGCCATTTTCTGTCCTTTCCATCATTTCTACTTATTCCACATCATTGTGAAGTTGGTTCCTAATGCCGTTCTGTGTCATACTTAATCATAACATTAAGCTGAATATAGGGCAGAATGGAACTTTCTAATTATGTATTGTGATTCTGGCTGCATTAAATATAAGTTCAGTTAAGTAACTTAAATACAGCCCTGAGCTCTTGTAGGGAAATCATTTATGCTCTGTTTAACTTCAAGGAAGCATTTGTCATAGCCTTTAAAGGAACACTTTATAATCCCTCACGACACACTGTATTTAGATCATGGAAATTTTACATATGCTGTAAGAGTGAACAATTACTAAGAAGTGCATGCGTGTGTGTTTGTGTATTTCCAGGAAAGAGATAGCAGAGCTACGAGGAGAGCTGGATGAAGAAAGGCTAAAGCGTGTGGCCCTGCAGGTAGTATCGATCACCATAGAAACACATGCTGAGCTGTCTACATTCATTACTCTCATTAGTTCAGACAAATATCGATGCTTTTTAGCCACACGTGTACTCAAGAAAAAGCACAGCGACATGCATGCTCGCGAGTAAGACAACACTTAACAGACAGGTGATTGTCACCCAGCTGACAGTGACCTGCAGCAGTCAGAGGCTAAATAGAGGCAGGTAGACAGAGTGGCAGGAGACAAGGTAGCTTAGCTAGCTCAAGCATCTGTCGCACAGTGAAGTATCTTCTGTCACTCTGAAGGAGCTTTCTAAACTCTGAAAAATATCCCTGTTGCCTCCTTCAATCAACATCAAATTTTTAATGTTGTTAGCATGTCCAAATGGCATTTTTTTATATACTAGAGGATGCATAATAAGCAAAATAGTCCGCAATCATTATGTCTGAGCATTTCAAATTGAAACTGCAGCATATCAATGACGCTCTCAAAACCCTGGATTCAGACTACTGGGGTTTCATAGGTCACAAATCTACCAAAAAAGTTCTGTTGACTTGTGGCTTTCTGCATCATTCTTTTTCAGAATCAATTCCTGGTTCACACATGAACGGCTGAATTACACCAAGAGTTCAACTTGCCATTGTGTAGAGTAGTTTTACAGTGTCTGAGAAGAGAGTGGGTGAGCTGGTGTGCTCGAGCTGCAGCTGGCAGTGGAGCAGGTGATGGAAATAGAGGGATGGACGTCATGGATCTGCACATTCTAGAGTTGCAGAAATAATTTAAAGGCAGGAGGAGATTATTTTAATAGAGGGCTGCAAGGTGGCTC